AAAATTACAGTTAAAAGGAAGGATTGTAGCACTTTTTATGCGCCTTTCAAAAACTTATAGTGCAGCATCCATTTCGATCCCACGTCTCTAACATTTTAGGAACCGTATGATATTTAGTGAGAGCACTCTGTACATCACTGAATGAAGAGAAGGGGCAATCAAATGTGTCAACTCAGAGGGAACCAGACCATCCAGTCAATTTTTGACATTACATTCAGGAAGGCTTTAAACCATTAAAATAATTACTTTTTGCTAAAAATAGCTGGAATCTTTATTATTATTTGGACTGTTTTTAGAAGCAGGAGAGACTTCAGAAGAACAGAAATTTATAATGAATTTTGCATAAAGTAATTCATAACTTCAGTAATTCAGCTTATGTCGTATTGCATATCATGTTCCACCCCATTTAAAAAAGTTAATTACTAGCAGGCGTAACAAAAGGTAACAGAATAACATGTAAATTATTGGTTAATTCAAAGTGCTTAAAGAAACAAACAAGCCTTTGTTTGAGTTTTCCTTTATTTGAATTATACAATGTGTGGAGCAGTTGGACATGCTTCACTTTTAAGCGTTAAACTCATGCTGTGAGTTCAGTCAATTATAAAAATAACTAAAGAAAACTTTTTTATTTCCACTGAAGCGTTTTGACACAATTTACAAAACTGAATGCTACAGAGCTGCTAATATTTTCCTTAAAAGGTATAAGTTGGACAATAAAGTGCAGATACTTACAACCTACAATAACGACAATATTGCAGACTTAAAAAAAAAACTACATACCTTACATACTTTATTTATTATAATAACACAAAATATTTAAAGCACTCTTTAAGACGGATAAACTTGAACATCTCTTCATTAGAAAGCCTTGGAAATTCTCAATGTAACTTTCTAAAATGTAACAGTATAGAAGGAGTAACATCTAAGATGTGTAAAAAATGTGAGAAAGATTTTTGTTTTCATTCAAAGCTAAAATAAACCATAGCTTATTCATCGGCCATTTTTGTTTCAGTACTCAGAGAAGCTCCCAAGTGAACCCAGACATTATAAAAATAATGATCAAAAACATAAATATACTAAGAATAAACTGAATATTGTTTTAAATAAATGAGAATAAACTCAAGAACACTTTTATTAAACAGGTTAAAATAAAATGACGGAAGGTTTTCAGTATTAAAATTGCAGCCATGCTATGAGAAAAAGGTTTAGCCCGTCTTGTTGAAACAAGTTGTTTTGAAAACAAACACGAGTTGCATCGACGTTGAACAAAGTGTGGTTAAAAGCCGTTTGCCTGATAAGCTGGCCACAGAGGCACTGCAAAGCAGGGGATTAACTTATCTTATCTTAAAGCTGTGGTGAGTTTAAACCAGCTGCATGTTTTTGAGAGCAAATAAAAGGTTTATCTTGTCAAGGAGAGAAAGACTCCCTATGGATAAAAATAAATAAATAGTACATCAGTTAGAAGGAGCAGTCTTGCAGAGGAATGCTTGCTTCCAATTATAACTATAAAAGATCTTACATTGCATAACGGAAAATATGCAATCATACTTACATCTTCAGGGTGTGAACCTGAGGAAGGTTTTCAGATTTTAGAGCTCTGAGTCTGTGAGTCAGTGCTTTGCATGGGGGCTGACTCTTTCATATTTTTTAGAGTCAAAACAAAGTAAATGAAGATGAATAAACCTGCAAAATACAAAGAAAAGAAAGAATGAGCTTAGATTTGGTAGAGTGTACAGGAAGGAGGCGAGGCTCATGCAAATCATGCAAATGTAAAATATAAACAACAAACTTTCTCAGAACAATATTAAAAGTATTGATTTTACAAACACTAGAGGTAACAATACAACAAGGACAGATCTACAGGAGGGCGGGGGGGGACAGCTTCCCCTCAGCAGCCATGTTATTATTAACTAATCCCATCTTTGTGCAGAGGCATCTTACAGCCTTCAGATGAAACATGAATTTACAAAACAAAAACAATATATAGTTTTATATATATATGCATTTTACACAACAAAAAGTCAAAATCTAGATAAGTAAATTTTTATTAAAATAAGTGCATTTGTTCTTGGATTGAGGAAGCAAAAGACACATTTTGCCAGTGGAACAAGACAATTTATAATTAATAAATAAAACACAATTGCATTGTCTTATTTCAAGTGCATTTTATTTAATTATCTTATTTTGAGAGTAAAAAGACTAATTCTATTGGCAAACTAGAGAAGGTAAACTACTCATTTACCTACTCAAAATAAGGGTAAATACACTTAATTTAATACATTTTTACTCACTTCTAGATTGTTTTTCCAGTGTATATCCGATATGTAGAATAATACATTGGCTACCATTATGACGATATTTCTAAATAGAGCTACTTGTGTGGAAATGTGATAAATTCTGGTTTCCTATTTTGATAAACAGGCATAATCAGTTCTCTAAGTTTAATTTTAGTTTATCTGTGAGAGATTTATGTCCAACATTCCCACTCTGACTGGATATATTGTGCCTCTTTTGCCCGCAACATACATGCTACATCATATTGTGATACAGTACAAAACCTTAACCAAAATGCATTATGTTATCATGACTCATATAAAAAACACTTAAACTAACCTTGCAATGAGTTCACAATGCAGAAGATGTAGAGGACAGGAGTATTCACGTAGCCCAGTGAGAAGAAGATCAGGCCCCAAGTGAGACCAAGCAGAACCATGAGAACCAGCAGGGTGAACATTTTTTTCTTAGCTGCATTACGCTCAGCTTGTCTGCGCTGCAGAAAGTGAGGAGAAAAGCAAAGTCATTGCAAAACCAAGAAAACCAAAATACGGAAAGTCCAATGATCAGTTTTGGATAAAATATTATCTAAATATGCAAATTCACAGGCTGAAAATCAAATAATATGAACATCATGTTAGTTCATCCAACAAGATGTAAACGAGAATATTCAGAATTCAAACTTCGGAAAGTACTTTAAATAAAAAATTAAAATGATCAGTGTTTTTAATTCAGAGTAATTTTCATGTGGATGTGCTTTACTGGAGGCATCCATGTTTGTCAAAGAACACTACTGCCACCTACTGGTTAGTGACATTGTCACGGTGCGGTATCGGCTG